TGCGGTATCCTCCTTCTCGTTGTCCTCCTTTTTCTCTAACTCGGATTCCTTTTATGCTTGTTCAGTTGGTTTTTGTTGCATGGCTGAGTTCTCGGTCCTCGGATCGATCGGTTCGTCCAATTCTTTTCCACTTCTTAGTATCGCAGCATTTGCTTGGCCTTTTGGATTCTGTTCGGGTTGTCCAGGAAATGTGCCAGCAGGTGCGGCAGCAGAGGCTTGCTGTTGAGCCACTTGTGATATCTGAGTTTCTAACATTTTGTTGTGGGTGGCCAACGCGTCTACTTTTCCTGTCAACTGTTTAATTTGCTCGCTAGTGTGTATGTTTTGATTCAGGAATTCTTTGTTTGTTTGAGCTTGAGTATCTATGAACTTTTCCATCATCAATTCGAGGTTCGATTTCCTAGGTGCATTCTGAGTAGCTGGTTTCTGATACCCTGGCGGAGCAGTAGGCATTTGCAATGCATTTTCGCTTTTGTAAGAAAAGTTTGGATGATTTCGCCAACCTGGGTTGTAGGTATTTGCGTAGGGATTTCCTTGAGCATAATTTACCTGGTCTGGTGGGATTCCGGCTAGCAATGGGCATTCGGGTGCATTATGAGTGGTGCTTCCGCATAACTCGCAATTTGGAGTTACTGCAGCGACAGTTGCAGTGGGGTTAACGGTCAGACTATCGATCTTCTGTGCTAAAGCATCTACTTTAGCATTGAACTTTTCAAGGCTGCTGATCTCGTACATCCCACCTTTCGCTGTTGTTTTCTCATTTGGAGTGCGTTCACCTCCCCATTGGCAATGGTTTTGTGACATGTTTTCTATCAGTTGATAAGCTTCATCGTATGACTTATCCATAAGTGCACCGCCCGCGGCAGCGTCTATTGTCAATCTAGTATTGTATAGAAGCCCATTATAGAAAGTATGGATCGTCACCCAGTCTTCTAGACCGTGGTGAGGGCATGTTCTTATCATATCTTTGAATCGTTCCCATGCTTCGTAAAGAGATTCAGTATCTTTCTGTCGAAATCCGTTGATTTGAGCTCTAAGCATGGCAGTTTTGCTTGGCGGAAAATATCTCGCTAAGAAGACGTTCTTCAATTGCTCCCACGTCGTAACGGAGTTGGATGGTAACGATTGTAACCATGTCCACGCTCTGTCTCTAAGAGAGAATGGGAAAAGACGAAGTCTTATCGTGTCTGGAGTAACTCCATTTGCTTTCACTGTGTCTGCGTATTGTACAAACTTCGTTAGATGTTCGTTCGGATCCTCAGTTGCATTTCCTGAGAATTGGTTTTGTTGTACAGCCGACAGCAATGATGGTTTCAGCTCAAAATCATTTCGGGTAATAGCTGGGGCAGCAATGCTACTTCTAGGCTCCATCTGAGATGGTGTAGCGTATGCCTTCAGCGGTTTGTTTGGAGGTCCTTCAGCCATCTCTGGTTCTTCTTCTTCTGATTTGGGAATGGGAGTGAGAGGTTCGGGAGTGTTATGTTTGAGTTGTTTGAGTTGGTACTCAATGATTCTACTTCTTAAATGTAAGAAGCGTTCTAGTTCTGCGACTGAAGGTTTTACGATATCGCTTTGCGGGCGATTTTTTGGCATACAATCGACAGAACTGGTGAAGGGAAAATGAAAATTGTTAACCTAGTCTATACGGCGTAACAGAAGGTTACACTATTGACTAAACGGGTCCCCGGCAACGGCGCCAAAAACTTGATCGCGACTTTCTATGTCTAATACAACCTAACTGCAAGTGCACAGTCTATCGCGTAGTAATAATAGATATCGATCCCACAGGGACTCGTAATCAAACTAGTGTTCTCGGGAGTTACTATGTTTAGCTAGGTAGAATATGTTTAAGGGAATAAGATTGTCACTAAAAAGGAACTAAGAATACTATTTAGATTATAATTGATTGAATCGATACGTAGTAATTGGGTTCTTCAGGGATTTGATAAGTTACTGGTGTATAAAATAATTTTCAAAGTTTATTTAAGCAGAAAATGGTGATTTGAAGACTCTCGCCTCACGATGGTTATTGACGCTAATCATAATCCTAAGGGCCAAACGTACACTTTCGTATCCCGTTCGGGGTTAAAATTATTTTTTGGAAATCTCTAAGTCCTAATTCATTTTAAAGTGCTTTCGCTGTTATTAAAATGAATGACTAGTGTTTACTATCTGACTTTACCGCAGCTTTCGCTTGTTGGTTCGTATCTTAATTAATTTCCCACTTTCGTGGCAAACCTACTTTTAAATAAGTTCTCGCTTTCGCGACGAAGTTTATTTAGTAAATCAATTTTAAACACTCAGACCATAAATTACTTTTTTGAAAAGAAAGTTTTTTTCAACCAGTTGTTATCAAATCCCATTCGAATTATTACTACATATCGTTTACCTAAGTTTAGCTAGACATGGATTTGGGAAAGATAAAACATAAATAAAAATAATAAATAATGATTTGCATTATAATAAAACTGAAATCGATTGAAATGAGAAACCTGTAAATGTGTCAATTGGCCTTTGGGCAGATCCTCCACAGATGTTGGCAGGATTCTGGTCTTTAATGCCAATTTGATCGTACAATAAAATAGAAATTATAGAAGAATGGAAAAAGCAATATATGAAAGGTAAAGAGAAACAAATAAGAATATTGCTGGAAAATATGCTCTGGAAAGTAAATTCGGCAGCACTTCGTGGTATGAATGCAACACCCTTTCTGAAGTCCCCTGCTTCCCTTTTTATAGAAGTGGAATCCCAACGATTATCACTGAAGATGATGGACCTTGAGGCAGATAATTTAGGGAGTAGTGGTCCACTCTGTGGGAATTGGAACTGATTCTTTGACGTGTAATCTGAGTGGGGCGTTTTTGCCTGCATGACGGTCGTCATGAAGCTGTGACGGTCGTCACATCAGCAAAAACAGCTTGCTGCGCTTTTCATTGTGTTTTCACTCCTTTTTCGTCCATATTTCATCTGAGATTGTTTCTTTTCTTCATGTTGCCTTGTTTAGACGTGATTGTTGAATACCTGCAAAACATCAGACAAATACACGGAAATAACCCGAAATCGGATCGAAAACGGTTAGACTTTAGTTGAATTATGCATAAAAATATCTATATGATTTCGTGTTATCAACCCGCAACAAATGGCTGTCATGATCCTACGTGACAGTAGTGAAAACCAGCACGTGGTCTTCATCCTGGGTCAACTGCCCCACGTTCTCCGGGAAGTGAACGACTTTCCCGTTACGAAGGGCAGAACGTATCCATGAGAAACACGTGGTTAGTTGTCCATGTGTCCTCAGGTGGGAACCGTGTGAGGAGCGCGTGGAGAACGCGCCCTCCTGTGGTTATGATGGATTGGGCTTGTGTTAGGCCTTCTTCGACGTTGAGTTGGAATGGGTTATGTCCGACGGAGGGCCATCCCTAAGCCCAGTCCAAAACACATGGTATTGAGTATCATGTAGCTTTCTATTGGATTCACGTTACGACGGGCGACATGTAATGATTCCTACACTGTTGCTGTTGGATTGAACCAATCCTTTAATATTGTACTGTTTTGCATCTCTGGCCTTTTTCTTCTTATTGCTTTCTTTTCTTTTTATGTAGCATTTGGTTCACACCATAAACTTTGCCACAGAGTCATCAGACTTCTCGACGAGAGACTTTTGAAATTCTTTAAGGATTTAACTTGTCAGTCCCTCGATTAAACTTGGCACCTCCACATAGGGTCTGCTATTATATTTATGTTACTATTTTTTTTTAGATTTTCTATTACGTTTAACGGAAATTTCAAAAAAAAAAATTAGAATTTTTGAAATTTTTAAAGAAACGAAAAAAAAATTTAGAAAATTTAGAAAAAATTTTTACACTATTGAAAATTTCAATTTTTTTTAGTAAACTACCACACTTTTCAAAATTTCTTATAAATTACAACACTTTTTAGAATCTGAAAGTGTTAATTTTTTTTCTTATTGAATATGAACTACCGAAATTTTGAAAACTCTAAAAAAATAAAACAAATACCGGATTTATCAAAAAAGACAGTATGTTAATTAAAAAAAACGATAAAAAATTCATATCAACAATTTAAGAATATACTACCAGAAATTTAATTTGTTATCGAAAATTTAGAATAAACAATAAAAAATTTCTTCCACTTTTTACTCAAATTAAATTTTTCCATCAACAGTTTAGAAATTATGAAAATACATATAGTAACAAATTTTATTAAAGGGATGACAGAGTAAATCTCAAATTCTCGACTTTCAGCCCATTCTTTAAAATTTTCATAAACATTTCTTGGTTGGTGTGGACCACTTAGATGGTTGTCTCATATGTAATCCTGTTTCATAGCTTTTTATATTTTATTTTAGTATTTCTCAATTAATTTTAAACTTCTATTATTGATTTCAACATTTTATTATAGGGAAGAAAGTTTCAATTACTTTTATTATTGCCTTTGAAATTTAACCATAAATTTTGTATCTTCTAAAATCTAAAAGTCATATATCATGATTCCAAAACTAAAGTTGACTCAGATATACTAATAACTATTTTCACATTTGCTATCTAACATGTTACCAACATGCCATTAGGTCTTTTATGATTTTTTTTCTTCCATTATTTGTCTTATTCAACTGATTTAAAACTCTATTACTAATATTAACATTTAACATTTTTAAATAGGATCAACATTTTCAATAACATAACATAGGACCAATATGAAAACCAACCAAATGGTGATACATATAGTAGTAAATTATTCTCTTTCTTATTGAGTTGTGTTCCTATTGTCCATTCCCTAAAAATAACGAAACCTGTTAAGATGACACTTGATTTTCATTTCCAACTAGATCAAGTTTGTTGCAATATTATTATAGACCCTTGAGGTTAGTTAGTTCTAATATTTTTCTTCTTTTTTTCAACTCGTTGCATCTTATATAACACTTGTTAATTGTTGTCTCTCAATTTCCAAATCACAGCTTAAAGTGTTTGTGTGCAAAAATGAACAATGGTAGTAATGTGAAAATGACAAACACAAAGACTATTCTTCATGATCTTTATGAGAAACAAAGACAGAGTCCTTACTATGATAATCTCTGTCGACCCGTTTCAGATTTGATTCCATTCGTCACTTCTGGAATCAGAGGTGTTACTACCAACCCTGCGGTATTCTTCTCATTTTTTTCTTCACCTATATTTACTCTCTTGAAAACATCATGATTTCTCTTCAACCACAATGTTTTTGTGTTGCAGATATTTGAAAAAGCTATATCATCATCAAATGCTTACAATCGACAGCTGAGGTTTTTTTCTCTCCCTTTCTTCTATGAATAGTTGATATTCTAAAGTGAGAAATTCAGTTTAGAGAAATTAGTTAGATCCAATATAAAATTTGATTTATGCTTAAGCAGGGATTTGGTAGAGGCAGGAAAAGACATAGAAAGTGCCTACTGGGAATTGGTTGTAAAAGACATACATGATACTTGCAAACTCTTGGAACCAATTCACATTGAATCTGAGGGTGTAGATGGCTATGTATCTGTTGCAGTTTCTCCCAAGCTTGCAAATGATACCAAAGGAACAATTGAAGCAGCAAAATGGCTTCATAAAATGGTTGCATGTCCAAATGTTTATGTTAAAATTCCTGCAATTGATGAATCCATTCCTTCGATAAAGGAAGTTATTTCTCTTGGAATAAGTGTAAATGTCACTGTAAGTTTCTTATTTACAGACATATATATATATATGAAGTACTGACACAGACACAGACACGAACGACGCTACAACTATAGACATTCTTATGCTTATTGTTTGTGTATTTTGAACAGCTGATATTCTCTCTCCCTAGATATGAAGCAGTTATTAATGCTTACTTGGATGGTCTTGAGGCTTCTGGTATGAATGATCTGTCTAAGGTTTCAAGCGCAGCAGCTTTCTACATCAGTAGAGTGGATGTTGCAATTGACAAGAAACTTGACGAGATTGGTACTGCTGAGGCTCTTGATCTCACAGGAAAGGTGTGAAACTTTTCCCCCCCTTCGTTTTTGTTGCCTTTGGATCCGGATTGATTATAGTCGATAAATGTTACAGTCATTCATTCTGGTCTGTAAACGTGAATCATTAAGTGAAGATCAGACATTGTGTTTTCACTTCTTAAATTTGATTCACAATGTTGTAATGATTATTTCAGGCCGCAGTTTCTCAAGCAGTGTTAGCATATCAGCTTTACCAGAAAATGTTTTCGGGTCCAAGATGGGAGCTCTTGGAGAAGAGAGGTGCCAAGAAGCAAAGATTGATGTGGGCATCAACCAATGTGAAAAATTCATCTTACCCCGATACTTTTTATGTTAATTCTCTTATTGGACCAGACACGGTAATTTCGACAACAGCTTAACTGATTAATGCAGTTGAAACATGTGATTAATTACATTGAATGAATGTTATAATGTTAATAAAAAAAGTGGTTATTCTTTGGTGCATATACAGATTTCAACCATACCACCAGACCCTGCTCTTAAAGCATTCATGGACCATGGTATTCTTTCAAGAACCATTGATGCAAAAGTATCAGAGGCTGAAAGCATTTATAATGCAATTGAGACGCTGGGGATTGATTGGAGTTGTGTTGGATCAGAACTTGAAAACGAGGTGCTGGATTCTTTCAAAAGAAGCTTTGAAAATGTGATTGAATGCTTGGGAAAGAAGGCAAGAAGGCAAGTGGTAGATGGATAGAAAAACTCGGTGCATACAAATAAGCCAATGTTTGATGCATATGGGATTTGATAATGTAAAGCTTGGTGTGTGACAAAGGATGCTGTGTTGAATAAAACTACCACTCACTCTTTAAATTTCTCTCTAAGATATCAAGTGTTACATATATTAAAGACATGAAACATGCATGTTTGGATTATGCAAACCAACACCAAATTTTCTATTGATAAATAGGCTTAATATGCATAGCAAGCTACCAAAGTGCATATAGCTAGATTGTTATGCAGGGTACATATGCTAACCTCACAATTATAAACCGTGTGCTATTTCTAGGCGGCCTATCTCATCTCATCTCACTCATTAATGTCCGACGAAAAGCATCATCACCACGACCACGACCATCAGCAGGTTCTAAATCTAATAAGGAGCTGCTCATTATGTTGTGTATCCGAGGTTTCGGCTCTGACTTACTAAAACAATAGACAGGAGCCTGCCAATGCTCATCTTCAAGCACTGCACCAACTTCAAATGTCATCACATGAGAAATCATTCCTGCATTCATCAACCATCGTATATGTATCACAATTACTAATTAATTAATTTAACAAAAACATAAATTATAGCTCAACTGCCAAAAACCGATATTGTTTGATTGAACATATGCGTACCTGAGAAGAAGATCCACTTGATGGGTCTTCTAGTGAGAACATCCTCGTAGTACCAAATAAAATCGACTTTCTCCCAAACATTACACAGAAAATTATCAGCATACTCTTGGCCTAAATAGTTAGCACCTTGGAGCCAATTGGGTCGGAGAATTCCGACATCAAAATGAAGCTTTTTACAAGTGCGGTTGAAAGGGTGGAGAGTGTAGATAAAAGAGGTACCGTTGTTCCATTCAAGGTCGTATTTGAGAACACCTTGCTGATACTGGATGATGTTGAAGTTGCGTCCGTTGGGCCAATCGTACCATAAGTCTGTTTTTTGAAGATTGCCGCTTCTGTTGATGAATAGAACTGAGTGGAACTGTTCCGGCCATGGCGCTGGAATTGGGTTCTCTGTGGTTGAAGTTGAAAGATGAAGGAAGAGGAAGAGGCACAAGCACAAACAAATGCGTTCTTCTGTGGGAGAAGCCATGTCTGATTTCGGAAAGAGGAAGAGGAATGCACAGTATGTTATATGAATCACACGTGGATAAGATATATACACATCAAGTAAGTCGAATATTTTTATGTTTTTCAACCGTTTTTGTTTATTGTGTGTGTGTGTGTTTTTTTTTAATCTTAATTTTGCCCTTTAATAGAGATTAATTGCTTAATTGTTATCATATATTACGTGGATGCAACTAAAATTCTTTTTATCCAAACGCAATGGCAGTTAGGGGTGAGTATCACTTCGGTTAGGTTCGAGTTTGTGCTTAAAACTGTTAGACGGTTAGTGATGACGTCAACCGTCTTTATTGATTTAGTCTTTAATTTTATTAATAAGTGTCCTAACTAATAGGGTGATTAGGTTAGTATTTGATTATGTTTTGTTGGACCTATTTTTAAGCAAGTATTCACGTTCTTTAGATTGTTGTAGACGTGACCTAATTTATAGTTCTTTCTGTTTCAAGCCATGGTTATTTAAGAGTCATAGCTTCACTTGAATTAATAACAGATTTGATTTATAATTAAGTGTGTTCTATACCATTTTATATTAACAATTGGTATCAGAGCTCCGAAAGGGGTCTGATAGTGTGAGTAAACACAAAGAGATCAAGATGTCAACCTCAGAAAAGTTCGTGCAGCCGTCCATTCTCAGATTCGATGGCCATTATGATTTCTGGTCAATGACAATGGAGAATTTCCTCAGGAGCAAGGAGATGTGGAACCTGGTGGACGAGGGAATTCCAGCACCGGCAATCGAAGGAGGCTAAACTCAAAGATTTGAAGGTGAAAAATTTCTTGTTTCAAGCTATTGATAGAGAAATATTGGAAACAATTCTCGACAAGAGAACATCGAAGGCGATGTGGGACTCAATGAAACAAAAGTATCAAGGGTCCACGAAAGTGAAAAGAGCACAACTTTAAGCGTTAAGGAAGGAATTTGAGTTACTAGCCATGAAAGAAGGAGAGAAAGTAGACAGCTTCTTGGGGCGGACTTTAACTGTGGTCAACAAAATGAAGACAAATGGTGAGGTGATGGAGCAAAGCACAGTGGTTGGTAAGATACTTAGATCATTGGCCTCCAAGTTCAACTATGTCGTTTGTTCAATAGAGGAGTCAAATGACTTAAGTGTCTTGAGCATTGGTGAATTGCATGGAAGTCTGCTTGTTCATGAACAAAGGATGCAGGCACACTAGGAAAAGGAACAAGTGCTGAAAGTGACCTATGATGAGAGGTCAGGCAGAGGAAGAGGCAGAAACATGAATAGCGGAGGACGAGGTAGAGGACGAGGCATACATGCTTTCAACAAGGCTACAGTTGAATGCTACAAATGTCATAAATTGGGGCACTTCCAATATGAGTGTCCTGATTGGGAGAAAAGGGCCAATTATGTAGAGTTGAATGAGGAGGGGGAACTTCTATTGATGTCCTATGTTGAGAACAACAATTCGAAGAAAGAGGCAGTATGGTTTCTTGATTCTGGTTGTTCTAACCATATGACAGGGAACAAGCAATGGTTTGTGGAACTAGATGAGCAATTCAGCCATTCAGTAAAACTTGGAAACAATCTCAGAATGCCAGTGAAAGGGAAGGGCAACATCAGACTTGAAGTAGAAGGTGTAACTCAGGTAATATCAGAAGTTTATTATGTTCCAGAGTTGAAAAACAACTTATTGAGTATTGGCCAGCTGCAAGAGAAAGATTTGGCTATCTTGATACAAAATGGAGAATGTCGAGTCTATCATCCCAGAAGGGGGCTAATCATGTACACACAGATGACATCTAATATGATGTTTGTAGTATTGGCTAATGTTGTATTACATACATCATCTACATGTCTAAGTGTGAGAAGTAATGATATTGGTGAGCTGTGGCATAAGAGATATGGTCACTTAAGCATCACAAGTCTGAATTTGTTACAACAAAAGGAACTTATCCGAGGACTTCCCAAGTTTCAGGTGCCAACCAGTGTGTGTACAAGCTGCATGAAAGGGAAACAACATTGGGAGATCACTCCAAAGAAAAGCAAGTGGAGAGCAACACAGAAGCTGCAACTTATACACTCAGACATCTGCGGACCGATCACTCCAGAGTCATACGGCAACAAAAGGTATTTGTTAACCTTTATTGATGACTTTAGCCGAAAACTTTGGGTCTATTTTTTGAATGAGAAGAGTGAAGCTTTCACAACATTCAAAATCTTTAAAAATGTTGTGGAGAATGAGTTTGGTTTATCTATTTGTGGATTAAGAACATATAGAGGAAAGGAGTTCACCTCCAAGGAGTTCATAGAGTTTTGTAGACTTGAAGGCATTAAGAGGCAATTGATTACAACCTACACCCCTCAATAAAACGGGGTGGCCGAGCGCAAAAATTGTACTATTCTTAACATGGTGCGATGTTTGCTAGAAGAGAAGAAGATGCCTACTTCGTTCTAGCCAGAAGCTGTGAAGTGGACGTGCCACATCCTCAACCGAAGTCGAACCTCTGCCGTAAAGAATAAGACACCAGAAGAATGCTGGAGTGGAATCAAGCCCAATGTTGATCATTTTCGAGTGTTCGGATGCGTAGGAAATGTGCATATACCACATGCAAAGAGGTTAAAGTTGGATGCTAGAAGTCAAAAGTGTGTGATGTTAGGTTATAGTGAAGAGTCCAAAGGATACAAAATGGTCAATCCAATGACAAAGAAGGTGATAATTAGTAGAGATATTATGTTTGAGGAAGAGGAAAGTTGGGATTGGAGAAGGACAGAAGAAGAAAAAGCCAAAAATGACAGTCTTGATTGGGGAGAAGTTGATGAAGACACATATGTCTCTAGTGATGAAGAAAGTAAAGGTGAAAATTCACAAGAAGAAGGAAAATTTGATCACAGTGTCATCTCCAGTGATGCTACAGCACCTACTCTGCCTGAAAGAAGAGTCACTCGAGCCCCAACATATCTTCAAGACTATACAAGCGGAGAAGGACTCTCAGAAGAAGAAGAAGAAGAGGTACAAAATTTAGCTTTGTTTATAGCCTCTAATGATCCTATTTACTATGAAGAAGCAGTGAAAATAAAAAGATGGAGGGATGCAATGGATGTGGAGATCGGTGCCATTGTAAAGAATGAAACCTGGGAGCTTGTTGATGCACCAAAAGAAGTCAAAGTAATTGGAGTGAAGTGGGTCTATAAAACCAAGTTGAATGAGAATGGTGAGATAGATAAGTGCAAAGGTCGGCTTGTGGCTAAGGGATATGTGCAAGAGAAGGGAGTAGACTATAATGAAGTCTTTGCTCTAGTTACTAGATGGGACATGATTCGTACGGTGATAGTCGTGGCAGCAAGAAATGGATGGACACTCTTTCAACTCGATGTTAAAAGCACCTTTCTTCATGGTGAGCTTAATGAAGATGTTTACATTGCACAACCTCCAGGTTATGTGGTCAATGGGGAAGAGAAGAAAGTCTACAAACTAAAGAAAGTACTCTATGGTCTAAAGCAGGCACCGAGAGCGTGGTTTAGCAGAATTGAAGGCTACTTTATTAAGGAGGGGTTCGAGAAAAGTGGCTATGAGCACACCTTGTTCATAAAAAGAGAAGAGAAGAACAAGATCCTAATTGTAAGTCTCTATGTTGATGATCTCATTTTTACTGGCAATAATTCAATTATGGTGAATGAGTTCAAAGATTCTATGAAAAGGGAGTTTGAGATGACTGATCTTGGTAAGATGAAGTATTTCTTGGGAGTTGAAATACGACAGAGCTCTAATGGCATTTACATTGGTCAAAGGAAGTATGTTGAAGAAGTTCTGAAAAGGTTTGGGTTGGAGAGTTGCAATGGAGTTAAGAGTCCCATGGTTCCAGGAAGTAATAGACTGACAAAACAAGAAGATTGAAAAAAGGAAGATGCAACATTATTCAAGCAAATGGTGGGAAGCTTGATGTACATGACAATCACAAGACCTGACTTGGCTTATAGTGTGTGTTTGATAAGTCGCTTCATGGCCAATCCTATGGAATCTCATATGATGGCGGCCAAGAGAGTTCTCAGATACATTAGAGCTACTACCGAGCTTGGTGTATTCTACAAAAGGGGATGTGAAGATGAGATGCTAGCCTATACAGACAGTGAATATGCGGGGGACTTGGATGGCCGAAAAAGTACTTCAGGTTATGTTTTTATGCTAAGTGGAGAAGCAGTGGCTTGGTCATCAAAGAAGCAGCCAGTGGTGACACTTTCAACCACTAAAGCGGAGTACGTGGCAGTCGTTTCTTGTGCATGTCAGTGCATTTGGTTGTAATAGATACTGAAGCAGATTGGAGGTACTCAAAGTAAAAGTGTCAAGGTTCTGTGCGATAACTCTTCTACAATAAAACTTGCAAAAAATCCAGTTTTCCACGGCAGTAAGCACATTGATGTGAGATTCCATTTCTTAAGGAATCTCACAAAGGATGAAGTGATTGATATGAAGCATTGTGGTACAAGTGAGCAATTAGCTGACATTATGACTAAGCCTATGAGGTTGGAGTTGTTTGAAAGATTCAGAGAAGCACTTGGAGTGAAGTCAGCTGAGAAGGTAAACTGAAATGCTTCTAGCATGTTCAGTTTAGGGGAGCAATTGTTAGACTGTTAGTGATGACGTCAGCAGTCCTTATTGATTTAGTCTTTAATTCTATTAATAAGTGTCCTAACTAATAGGATGATTAGGTTAGTATTTGATTAAGTTTTGTTGGACCTATTTTTAAGCAAGTATTCACGTTCTTTAGATTGTTGTAGACGTGACCTGATTTTTAGTTCTTTCTGTTTCAAGCCATGGTTATTTAAGAGCCATAGCTTCACTTGAATTAATAACAAATTTGATTTATAATTAAGTGTGTTCTATACCATTTTATATTAACAAAACCTTTAAACCGGACCAATCCACGAATGAGAAATATGAACTCATTTCCGACCATTTGAATTTTCGGTTTAATCGGATTCGGTTTACTATGTCGATTTTTTTTGA